GGGGGCTGCCCTCTCTGCCGGCCTCCGCAAGGGCGGCGGGAGTAGCCGGCGGCGGCCTCGGGGTTCTGTCCTTCAGGCGGAAGGGGCGGGGCTCGGCGCTGGGCGCCCTCCACTTCCTGTCCCAAAGAGCTGTCCCCACCCGCGGGTCGTGCCCCCCCTCCCTGCGCGTGCAGGCGGCGTAGTCGCAGGGAAGTAGCCCTACGGGGGCTGAGCCTGGGCCTGGCACCCAGGGCTTGGTCCTGCTTGGCCCGGGCAGGAGGAGGTAGCTGGCAGCCCTCACGACTTGGCCACCCCCTCGTGGACGACCCACCTGCTCCGCAGGCCCTGATTACTCCCCCCCTTGGCTGACCCACGGTGTGGGCAGTGGGCAGGTGGCTCCAGCCCACCAACCAGGGCAACACAGCAATGCCCACTCATCCTGGGGCTGCTGCGGTACCGCCACTGTGGACCAGTGAGAGCCAGGGAGGTCCTACTGCCCTGTCAGACACAGGGAAGCTGACCAAGCCTCTGGAGGATCCCCTCCCGAGAATGCAGCACAGCCAGCAGGAGAGAGCTCCTGCCAGCTTGGCCTGGGTTGCTGGGGCTCTTGGTCTGGTTAGGCTGGTAGGAAGCCCCCCCTAATAGTCCATGCTGCCTTCTGAGGGCTCAGCTGGCCTAGCTGCAGAGGCAGCAAATCCCTGCAACAGGCTTCCCAGGTAGTAACGTGAGCCCAGAGAGAGCTGCTTCCAGGAACCCAGGCTGCCTGCTCTATTCCCAGTGCAGAAGCAAGTTAGCATAGCCTATGCAGTGAGCAGCAGGATGCGCCTGAGCTCAGCTGGGGAGACCTGGGGCAGAGGGGAGGGTCACCAACTGGCATCCCTACACATGCTTTCACTCACCCCCTGAGATCTGCAAGAGTCCCAGCAGCACGGCTCATAATGAGAGGAATGACCGTTATCTTCTCTATTCTCCTGGGTCAGCCTGGAGTCACCTGTGACTGAAGTGGGGTTCAGCTCCCCCAGGGTAAATCTGGGGTCCCCTTGGCCCGGCTTAGAGTGGCCGTATGGCCTGGCTTGGGGTTAGCTCTGCGCTGACTTGCGTTCTGTTCTGCTGCAGGTACAGGTGAGATGGTGGGAGCCCAGCGGCTCGAGATGGCAGAGATGCAGCCAGCCCCACTGCCGCAGCCAGGTGCCAGCGAGCACCAGTATGAGTGTCTGGAGTGTGGCAAGGTCTTCAAATGGTCATCGCGGCTCATCCACCACCAGCGTACGCATACTGGGGAGCGCCCCTACAAGTGCTCGGAGTGCCCCAAGGCCTTCAAGGGTTCCTCAGCACTGCTCTACCACCAGCGCAGCCACACTGGGGAGCGCCCCTACAAGTGCACTGACTGTGGCAAGGCCTTCAAGCGCTCCTCACTGCTGCAGATCCACCAGAGCGTGCACACCGGTCTGCGCTCCTTCAAATGCACCCTTTGCGGTATGGCCTTCAAGTGGTCCTCACATTACCAGTACCATGTGCGCCAGCATACAGGTGAGCGCCCGTATAAGTGCACCACATGCGAGAAGGCCTTCAAAAACTCATCCAGCCTGCGGCGTCACCGCAACATCCACACAGGCGAGCGCCCCTATGTCTGCACAGCATGCGGCAAAGCCTTCACCCAGTCCACCAACCTGCGGCAGCACCAGCGCATTCACACAGGTGAGCGCCCCTACAAGTGTGCTGACTGCACCAAGACCTTCACCCATTCTTCCAATCTCCTACTGCACCAACGCACCCATGCCAACAGCCGGGCCCACAAGTGCCAGGCTTGTGGCAAGGCTTTTGTCTCAGAGACCTACCTCCAGAAGCACCTGCAGATGCATGCGGCTAAGGAACCGACTCCTTACGGTGAGGCTGAGCTGGCCTGTGCACCAACTGAGCTGTTTTTGGCTGCTGCCACAGAGGCAGTAGAAACTGTGGAGATGCTATGGAAGTGTGGGGACTGTGAACTGACCTTCAAAAGTGAGGAACTGCTGTTGGGCCACCAGCAGAGCCACCTGGAGGCGGCCCCGCCTCTGCCAGCTGAGGAGCTGCCTGTTGCACCACTCTACACCTGCCCCACCTGTGGCAAGGCCTTCAAAAATGGGTCAGGGCTGTCACGGCACCAGCACAGCCACACTGGTGAGCGACCCTACAAGTGCTCCATCTGTGAGAAGACCTTTGTGCAGCTCTCCAACCTTCTGGCACACCAGCGCACACACCCTGCTGAGCAGCAGCTCATTCAGGCTGAGGCTGAGGTCACCTGCCCTCAGTCAGCAACTGAGCCTTCCCCAACTCCGGCCCCTGTTCTGGCCCCAGCCCCTGCTGAGGCAGCTGAGCGCCCCTACAAGTGCACAGAGTGTGGCAAGGCCTTCAAAGGCTCATCAGGGCTGCGCTACCACCTGCGAGACCACACTGGGGAGCGCCCCTACAAGTGCTTGGAGTGCCCCAAGGCCTTCAAGCGCTCTTCACTGTTGTCTATCCACCAGCGTGTGCACACTGGCTTGCGTGCCTTCAAGTGTGCTGAGTGTGGCCTAACCTTCAAGTGGTCATCGCATTACCAGTACCACCTACGCCTGCACACAGGTGAGCGCCCCTACAGCTGTACCGACTGCGGCAAGGCCTTCAAGAACACTTCCTGCCTGCGGCGCCACCGCCAGCTGCATACTGGTGAGCGCCCCTTCACCTGCCTGGTCTGTGGCAAGACCTTCACACAGACCTCCAACCTGCGGCAGCATCAGCGTACTCACACAGGTGAGCGTCCCTACACCTGCCAGCAGTGTGGCAAGACCTTCACCCACTCCTCCAACCTGCAGCTGCACCAGCGAACTCATTCTAGTGAGCGCCCCTTCAAGTGCCCTGTCTGTGCCAAGGGTTTCGTCATGGCCTCTTACCTGCAGCGCCACCTCCGCACGCACGCTACCGAGGCAGGTACCCCTGAGGCCAAGAGTGAGATGCCAGCCCAGGGCCTTCCACTCACACCCAGCACCCAGGAGGTGCACATTGTGCCCAACCTGCAGGCCACCCTCAATCTAGAGGTGGCTAGCCCACCCAGTGCCCCTAACTCCCAGACCTTCCTGCTGGTGCAGACAGCACAGGGCTTGCAGCTGATCCCCAGCATCCAGCAGAGCCCCCAGAAGCTGATCCTCCTGCCCAGCCCGCAGATGGTGTCCCCACACCAGAAAGTGCCCGTTCTTCAGAGTACCCCCAACATTACCCTGATGCCCAGCAGCCCCACAGTTCCCAGCAAGCCACCCCCCCGCCGGCAGGGCAAGGCCAAGAAGCAGGCTGCCCCCAGTAACCCCAACCCACCACAGCCTGGCCAGAACATCATTCTGGTGCCAGCCAGCGGGCAGGCACTGCCTAGCATGCAGATCCAGACTTTGCCAGGATCTCAGCGGGTGCCAGGGCTCCAGACCGGGCAGAATGTTATTGTGCTGCAGAACATGCCTGAGCAGCCCTCTGCTGAGGTAGCTAATGTCCAAGTCCAGGGCTTGCCACAGCCCCCTGAGGTGACTGGCATCCCAGCCTTGTCGCAACCTCAGGACGTGACCAGCATCCAGATCCAGGCCCTGCAGCAGAGCTCCCCGGAGGCAGAGGAGGCTCAAACCCTTCCCAGCTCCCATGAACTGTCCAGTGCCCAGCTCCCTGCAGATGCTGGGCAAGAGATGGCAGACCTGCCAGAGGGCCAGGACCTGATTGTGGTGCAGAGCGCACAGGGTGATGACTTGCTGGGGCCAGGGACTGAAGTGAGTGGCCTAGAAGGGGTGCAGGATGTGCACCTGGAGATGCTGCAGACGGCTGAGGGACTGCAGAACGTCTTGGTACTGCGTGGTGCTGATGGAGAGCAGACCCGCTTCTGTGTGCAGGATGTGGAGAACCTACCAGAGCTGCCCCCAGAGAGCGGATCAGGGGCCCTGACGGCTCCTGGGGGGCAGAAGCTCTTCATCATCCGCAGCACTCCCAGTGAGCAGACCCTGCAGGTCCTGGAGAACGTGTCAGGTCTGCAGGCACTGCCAGGACCCCCAGGCCCCAATGTGGGACAGCTCCCCCTGCAGGCACGGGGGATGCCCAACAGCCCAGGGAGTGGCCAGCCCTCCTCTGGCAACACCCAGATGGTACAGCTGCTGCCAAGCCCAGTGCCACCTCCCCAGGAGCTGCAGTCCATCCAAATAGTGCAGACAGTGCCCAGTGTGCAGCTGGTTCATACCTTCTGAGTCCCATGCACCTGGCCTTGCAGGTGCCTGCCTTGCCCTGCTGGCCAGTACTGTGCCAGTGCATGTTGAACTTGGGGTGAATGTCCCCTCCTCTACTGTCATGCCATGTACTACAGACACTGTCCAGCTGGCTGCAGCAAAGGGCTCTGGGTTGCCTGATGAGCGCAGGCAGCCCCTGACTGCCTTTCCAACCTTGGCTGTAGCCTTCCAAGGCATAGGGCTGGTAGGACTTGACATCCATGTCATTGGAGCTGAGTCAGTTCTAGCTGGGCGTGGGATTGTCTAGCTGGGCTCCAGTTGCAAGGCGCTGTTTGCCTGTCCCTGAGCAGAGGTGCAGTGGGACCTGGCCTGAGTGCTTCCCTAGCCTCTGCTCACTTCTAGTATTTGAGCCTCTTCCAGGGCTGGGAGGAGAGTGGGGTCCAGAGGTTAGAGCAGGCTACCTCAGGAACCAGGATTCCTAGGTTGTGTCTTGGCTCTGCAGGGGAGGAGCGAGTGGGTAGTAGGTTTGCCCAGGATTCCTGGGTTCTTTTCCTGACTGCCTTGCTGGGCCACCTTAGCTAAGTCTCTTCTTAGCTGCAGGAGGGGCCAGTGCTGTGAGGCTGCATGTGTACATGCAAACATGCTTTTCTCTTGGGGGAGGGGCCTGGGTGGGCACAGCTCTGCCTGCTGCTCTGTGGAAACCCATTGCTCTCCCAGGCAGGAGATGGCATTGTGGCACAAGGGAGCAAGTGCAATGGTCTCCCAAGCCATTAGGCACCACTTCCCTGCCACCCAGATGCTGCCCTGAGCCCCCTGGCTGGGTTGGATCCTATCTCCTCTTCCATAGTGACACCTGGCACTGCTCCCCAAAGGACACAACTGCTTCAGCCCAGGAGGCAAATAAAGGACTGCTTATGAAGGGTCTGTGCCTGGTTTGCTCAGTTTGCGGGGAGCGAGCTGTGGTGGTCCGAAGTGGGGAGCAGGGGTGACTGGAACAGAGGGCTGCTGGGAAAGGGCTGGGCTGAACTGCCCACCGGGAGGAGGAGGTAACCTCTGGGGGAGCAGCCTCTCTCCCTGCCCCGTTCGGGGCGCGGCTTCCGGGGCAGCCGGCGGGGTGGTGCCCCGCACAGTCAACCGGGCCTCGGGCAGGCACCAAGCTCCCAGGCAGGGCCGGGTCGGGGCAGGGATCCCGGCTCAGCCGCAGGGGAGGCGGGTGGAGGGCAGGGCTGGTGGTCTGGGGGCTGCCGGCGTCCCCCC